GAAGAAGGATTTATATTTTATCATAAAAAATATTTATTTTTATTATATAATATATTATTTAATTTATCAACAAAACTAACTTGAATTTAATGCTACTAATAAAATAATCATTGAAATTTGTTACAAATAGAATATTACATTACCTGCAGGATGTTTTAATAAATATTGTTAAGAAATACAATTTAACAAATAAAAAATATATTTTAGATCGATATAATAATAATAAGTGTTATGTTTTATAATTTAAATTATATTAAATTATAAAATAAAAATATTAAATAAAAAATAATTCTAATATTAAAAATTTATTATCATCAATTTAAATTGTGGAGTTTATATACCATGTAAACTACTAAACTTTAGTAAAGTTGGCCCAAACAACAAGAATACACAACAACGAAACATATAGGCAAATATTTACTTCATAGTATTAGCCTATAACCGCAGGAGTACATAAAATCCTTCGTATTTAGATGTTGAGATATACTCCTAAGCTAAGCTTGAAGCCTTCAAGTTAACTTCTAACCAGAAAAGATAGATGGCAAAGTTTTACACACATTTAGAACTCCTCGAAAGACTGGAGAAAATGCAGTTCCAACTAGGGAAGAGCATGAGCTATGTACATGCAGTTTTAAAGCAGAAAGGATTTTTGGTCTTTTTGGGCTTCAATTGATTCCCTGTCATAAAAACACGAGGGTAAAGGAAAATCAGTAGAAAACAAAAAGATTCTGCCATCAGGAAATCAGGATATGCAGCAGGGGACGCTTGTTAGAAAGAAACTAGAGACGGGTATTGAAGAGTTTGTGCAGTGTAAATATGTCCCAGAAGTTACTATATTATCATCTTGCCTTACAAATATGAAAATTTTACTTTTCAAAGACCAAGATTTGGAGGAAAGAAAGTAATACCTAAATGCACATTCGAGCGCCTTGTTTTCAGGATCCAACATAAAACCGTGGAAAAAAGCACCAGCAGCTTTGTCAAATTCCCGGGATTATGTATCATAAAACAAAGATCCTGGATCAGAAAATTTCAACAAAAGATCAAAAGTGAATCTTAAACTAATGACCTTACTTTCAATAGCATCCTTGCAACACCTTCCCTGTAATATGCCTCTGACCAATTTGGGCTCAGCTTAATGCAAGCTTTAGCATCTTCCAATGCAAGCCCCCCTTCATTCATCTTGGCCCAAGAGAGGCTTCGTTCAGATAGCACAGTTGCATCATTAGGATTCCAAGATATTGCCTGCAGTATCACCCAAAGGCCAAATCCCAAGCCAAAACAGAAAATTCAAAGATATTAACATGAGTGAGAACATATGCAAAGTTGAGCTGAAAATGTCAGAATAAAAACTGTGCCACCTGACAATATAGCACAGAGAATTCGCAAAACAAGTCTCAAAGGATATATATATATCCATTGGTTAACATGAAAATCATACTTCATTTTTTTAAGATAAGCAGTACTTTAGCCTTCTTCATACATATTACGAGAGATAAATTTGTGTAGTCTAATTCACAGGAACATGGAAACTGAAAATTAAATGGTTGCCTTAGGACCTCTGTGTACCACAGTACTGCAAGAAAATAATCCTTGCTGTTGAAAGATCTAGCTCCCTTTGACTTTGAAATCAGAAATAACTCTTTCAACTTCAGCTCCATCTGCAAGATATTTCAAAAGGACAGTAAATAGAAGTTTTGCAATGGCTAAGCATGGAACAGGGGCACCATATGTATATTTTGCAAACAACAGAATTAGTACATTATAGAGGCTCCAAAAAAATAATGTTTACTACGTTACTGCACCCCCAAGCCCAAAACAAAATGAGAAAGAGAGACAGATGCGGATCTTGTAATACCTTTTCTCTAGTCTCATCAGACTGAACTTGCTTCAATAGTCCAGAAATGCTCCACTCACGAATAGTGGGAATTGGAGAAGTCCAGGGGAAGAGGATCCTAACAACCCGACGTTTATTTGCCAATGCAGCTTCTTCAATTGGTGTCATCCCTAACTGTGACATATGTTAAATTTCCAAAAATCTGAATGGTCATACAGTACCTGAGTACTCAAGATTAATGAGAGTTACAGTTACGCATTGGTGTCAACTCACATTGTTAGCAATATTTGGATCAGCTCCGGCATTCAGCAGGCATTTAATAAATTCTTTCAACCCTTCAGAAGCTGCATATCCTAATGGAGTCATTCCTTTGGAACCATGAAAGTTAGGATTAGCTCCAGCCTAGACATAAGGCAATATAAGATTAGGTAGTGATACAATAAAATAAAACAGAAAACAGAAAACATAAATAGTGCAGATATTTGTTTGGCAATCAAGTAGCTAATGGAAATTTAAAGGAACCACATTTCAAGTTTTCAAGGTTCAGTAATTAACACCTACAATAGCAAAATACAAATATTTTGTAATCAAGGCCATAGACATACATAAATTAAAGCATCCACAAGGTCCACATCAACCTCCATGATGAATATTCAACAATAAATCTCATGTACCATAATGATAAGTAAATAAAAGGGTAAAAAGCTAACAGCCAAAAAAAAAAAAAAAATCCTGAAGAAGAAAAACCTTAAGCAGCAGCTTCATGCATTCAAGAGACTGAGCCCGGATGGATGCCAGCAATGGGGAAAATAGATCATGAGAAATCACATTTGGCTACATAAGAGTGAAAAATAGTGATTAAACTATTGACTAATTAGACAAAAGGTAGATAAAAAATTGATGTTATTATTCTTTGCATTTAAGGACATCATGTTTCTTTCATGAAAGCTTTTCATCATAACAGAAAAACACTGGGAATCTCTATGAATTAGATAGAGTTATAGACACAGTAAAGAAATTGCCTAACCATTTAACCTCAACCTAAGCAACAGAACTCAAAGTCTGTGTAGGTAAAATACATATAAATTATAGCTTGTTCTTACATCTGCATGGTGATCCAACAGAAGCTTGACAAATTCCTCCTTGCCCTTCCCTGCTGCATATTGCAATGGTGTACCACAATCAGCCACAGCATTAATTTCAGCCCCTTTTGATATTAAGAGCTGAATAAGTTCCTTGGATCCTGCAAAAATTTAACCAAATAGAAAACCATAACACTTCTCTGCAAAACCAAAAAAAGAAAAAAATTGGAAGAGAATGAAAAATGCTGGAAATTTCAAACAGTCATAATAATGCAAGAACAACTTTGCTCAACCACATGGACATTAGATTAAAAAAAAAAAAACCCTCTTATGAGCCCCATGAATATACATGGGTTAAACGACATAATTATCCTAAATACAATACACTATCACCATTTACTACAGAAGTTCCTAGGGAATTCAACAAAGCAAATTTCTAATAAAAATCGTTTGTTGGTTTTCCAAATTAATCCACCGCATACATATAATTCAGATTTCAGGAGAACATGCATTCTCAATTTCTTGATCTGTATCCTCATTTTTTCTGAAACTTACTCCAAAATAGACAAACCGACTTCAAATCTTTTTCTCTCCCAAAATATTTATAATTACAACTGCAAAAATTGAAGTAAAAATAGCTATTTACCATGTTCTGCGGCGTAGTGCAATGAAGTGCGCCTCTTCCAACTTCTCGAATTCGGATCGGCTCCATTCTCAAGAAGAAAAGCAGCCGTCGGAAAATGCCCCTCCTTAGTCGCATGAAGCAGAGGAGTCTCACCAGCTTCACAATCCTTCACATTGATGTCGAGTTTTCCTTCCTCTAAAAGAAACTTGCACAGCTTCTTTCGTCCTCTAGCGGCCGCAACATGTAAAAAGCTCTTACAATTCTCATCACCGACGTTCAGAGCCATCTTAAGGAAAAGTTCCTCCGACTTAAAGGCTTCAACCAGATCTGCCTCCGCGTTTCAAAATACACAAGTTCAGCGCCAAAGTATCAAAACACAGTGGTAAACAAAGGATACTGTAACTACTACTTACGCTGGAACGGAGCAAGGTCTCCGGTGGAAGCAGCTTTAAACAAGTCGTCCACTGCAAAAGATTACGATCCAATTAGAACTGAAAATGGAGGAAAGGGAAACGGCGAGAGTTCAGTTGATGAGAAAAGATCACCTGAAGTTCGAGAAGACTCCAGCAGAGAAGTGAAACGAGCAGAGAACTCTTCAATTTCCATGGCGGACAGAAGTAGGCGGCGAAATTGAACAGAATATGGAGGGGCAACTTTCGTAGGGATGGTATTGGTATGGTTGGGGGTGATGGTAGTGGTGGTGGTGGTGATGATTTGAGTTTTTTAGAAGCTCGTCTTTTCAGTTTTGCCGCTAATTTGAGAGTTTCTGTTTTGGCCGAAATTCGAGGAGTTGGTTAACGGAGCATTTAGGTATGTTTGTTTTGATAACAATTAGTAGAGGAAATGAAAATAAAATAAAATAAGGAAATATTTTCTACTTTTTGAAGGTAAGGAAGAAGATTAGTGATAAAATAAAATTAAGTTTTACTAATGAATTAAATAATTAAAGTTAAGAAAAAAAAGTGAAAAATAAGATAATTTAATATGTTATATGTTAAAATTTTTTATAAAATTATTTAAATACTTTAAAAAACCCTTTCTTATATAATAATTTATTAAGATATTTAAATAATTTATATAAAAAATCTTGATATTTTAAAAGTTTATCTAATTTGTATCTTTAATTACAAGTTACAATTAATTTACACAAAAAATAATAAAAGTTTATTTTTATATTAATAATTTTAATTAATTAATTAATTAATTTAATTTTTATTATTTTTTATATTTATTAACTAAAAAAAGATCTCCTAATTTTAAAGTGTAGTCCAAGGAAGTCCGCCTCCTCTGAGTCCTAGCATTGGGATGGGCTCCATTCTCGAGAAGAAAAACAACAGTAGCAAAACGCCCCTTAGAAATTGCATGATGCAGAGAAGTCTCACCAGCTATCCAATCCTTCATATTGACGTCGACATTTCCCACCTCCAACAATACTTACACACCCTTTTTCTTCCTCCAGCAGCCGCCAAATGTAAAAAGCCCTTACCATCCGCATTCCTTGCCCCTAGAGATCTTGGGATGTAATCTTCCCTATCCATCTTGCTCACCATATCTGTCTCACCATCCAAAAATACACAAGTTAAGCACCGTATCAAGCCGAGGTTAAGAAACCGGAAATAGGTAAAGAAACTAGAAAGGATACTATTGAACGGAGCAAGGTCACCGATGTAAGCGGATCGAAACAAGAAATCAAACATCCTCCTTACTGCAGACGTTTTCAATCCATAACAAGTCAAATGCGGGAAATAGAGAACTGATTATTAGATATGAAAGCTGAAAACGAGGAAAGGAAATGAGAAACGACCTGCAGCGATTCCCATTCGAGAAAAACGCTCTCCAAGGGCGTCGGTGTCTTCCATTGCAGGCGTTTCGAGTGAGAGAGAGCGGCGATGAAGAAATGAAAGGAATATATAGGGCGGGAGAGTGTCGTACGGCTGAAGGGAGGTAGGGTTTTGGTGGTGAAGAAGTTTATTAGTGAGAAGAGGCATGGCGTTTCAGTTTTGCCGCCAGTCAACGAGCAGGTTAACGAACACTAATTGTAATTAAGCAAACTAAGCAAAGGTACTACGATGGTAAAGGAAATGTTTTTTACATATCACTGTCTTTCTTATTTATTTGGAATATAAAAAAAAAAAATTTTATTTGGGCTTAAATTTAAGCCCCAAAAAATTACTAGACCCATTATGCCGAAGCTTAAATTTTGTTAAAAGAGTTGAGAATTTTGACTTGAACTTTCTTAAGGTTCAAGAAATTTGGAAAGCAACCTTGCATTACTTTGCCTAATCCATGGGTTTTCTTCACGTAATGAACAGTTATTTTGTTTTTCAACACTTTAAACTGCGGATTAAGATTTAATCAATTAATTCATTGAAGTTGTATTTCCACCAATAGTGTTCCAAACCTTGTCATTGATAGATCAAACAAAAGGATGCTAATGAAATATTTTTAAAAGATTTGAGACCTAATTAATCGTCTTACAAAGAAGATGAAGAAGAACAATGAGGATTGCAATTTCACGTACTAACTCCAGGGAAACAAAACCTCCTTTATGGTTAGATGCTATTATGTAAAGACAAGGATAGATACAAAAAAATGAAAGTCTTAAACCAGCATGGAACTGACCATGCAAATTCTAGTGTGGAGCGTGGTGTTCCAACTTCCAAGCATGGTTGAGTAGCTTCTTTAAAGTCCTTAACAGTGTAGAACAGTAAAACCTGTATCTCAACCTTTCCGATCAGCCCAACAAGTCCGGTTTCAGTAGCCTCCCTTCCCAGTTGAGTAAAAGAATATGAAAACGGTTGGATAGAAGAAAATACAGAAAGCAGAAGAAAATCAAAGAGCTTAGCAAGTTTCAAGCTTCTTCAAGATCCAGCTTTCTCAAAATTCTAATATTATATATTAATGGAAGACACTAAAAGACAACAATAAGCTATACTAACCTACAGACAGCAGGAGTGACTTGGTTCACACAACAATGGAACATATTTGCGAAGTTATGTCATATTACCATCTAGTATTATGTTAAAACACTCGACTGCAGGAGAACATTACTATTCTTCAAGGCTAGTGTTAGATAATAAGATATGTACCAGAACAGCAAGCTCACCCAATGGTCAACTACAAGAAAGACAACATCAAGGTTTTCTGATGTAGAACAAGAAGCAAATGTGAGGATAGAACTTCGAAGCAGATGTAGATCAAGTTTTTAGTGTAAAAACTCATCTAAACACCACATTGCTCTCTGGAAGGTTTTGGTTGGACAGACCCCTGGCTTTATTTTCCACTGCTTAACTCTTTTTTTACTTGTAATCATCTAAACTCCAATGATGAACGGAATGATGATATCCATTGAACAAAATATAAAGATCAAACAGAAAGAAAAGATGTGCTTGTCAAACACCAGAGGTATTGCAGACTTTTTCACAGGCAACTAGTTCTAACCACACAAAAATGAAATAAAAAAAAACACACACACACACACACACACATCATTAATATGTGTTCTACATTAATTTGTCTTTCCCATTGTAAGTGGTACAATTTGGAAACCATGAACTCAAATGATTCTCCAGTTCTTAGCCTTGCAGTCGCAGTGCTTTAATTGCGTCCCTGCCATAAAATAGAGTGTACTATAATTAGAATAGTTGGAGAGAAGAAAATATCAAGTAAAAAGAAGATGGAAGAAATTGTGTGATAATTTAGAAAAAGGCAAGACTTAATTTCCCCATACTTGAATTAGCATCCAGTCCAATTTGATGTTAATACCACTCTAAAATTTTGCACTTTAAATTTTATATCCTTTAATTAATGAGTTTCTAGAAACATCTTCACTAACTCTTCATTTACTCACAGGTAATTGTAAGAGAAGCAAACATGACTGCAGACCAAATTGCAAAAATGGGATGTTCTTTATCTGAGCCTTTTGTTATCTTTGAGGATTGTCCATCCTTGGTTGCTTATTTTTGCATGGCTGATGCCTATGGGGT